TTTGCATATATTTCTTCACTTTTTTTAACAACCATGAGTGAACTGCAGTACTCACAGCAAGTGCTCCAAAAAGAAGCCCTGAAAAGTGGAGGGGCCAGTGTCTCTCCTTTCTAAAGTAGCTGGATTCTTAAAGTAGTACTGAAAAGGCAGTGGGCACTCCAGAGGTTTATTTCAACAAAAGTCACAGGATCATATTGACGAGGAGAAATTACTCCCTAAATTGCACCTACTTTGTCACTTTTTCTGTTTTCAGGCTTTTCAATGGACAACTTGGCAAATGGACCCAGGCAATGTGCACGAAGTAACCCTACAGAAGCTCCATGGTTTGAGAGTTGTTTAACCCTCCAACAAGCCATGCTGGATAACACAATAAACTCTAGTTGGCAGAAATTGTGTAAATCATGCCTGGCGGATTCCACGATTCACAATGAGCCACCATGGCTTGTCTTGATTGTGTGAACCAGGTCAACATGTCATGGAAGGTGGAAGTTCTCCCACAAGCTTCTGAATATTGCCACCAATCTAGTGGCTTCTAGCTCGGGAGAGGTATTACTACCAGTCTATATGACTCTAGTGTGCCCACAACTGGAGTATTGTGTTGTTTTGGGCCCCTAGTTACAGGAAGGATATAGCCAGGTTAGAGTCAGTGCAGCATAGGGCCAGAAGGTTGGTGGCTAGTTTGCAGAGGAAGCTGCATTAGGCGAGACTGAGGGAACTGGGTCTCTTCAGCCTGGAGGAGACTCAGAGGGGATATGCTGGTGACATACAGGTATGTGAGGGGATGTCACATGGAGATGGGTAGAGACCCGTTCTCCCCTGCAGAGGAAGGCAGGACACGCTCCAGTGGAGCAAAGCTCAGGGAGCCAAGGTTCCATTTGGATGCCAGGAAGCACTTCCTGACAGTCAGGACCCCGAGGGTGTGGAATGGGCTTCCACAGCGGGTGGTTGAGGCCCCATCGGTGAGGGTGTTCAAGAACAGACTAGACATGCACACGGTGGGCATGTTGTGAACAGAGCTGGCAGGGGGCGGGGGGGGGGGGGGGGTGGAGAAGAGGGGGGGGGGGGCCCCCCGGGCCGCGGTTGTTTAGACTAGATGGCCAGGGAGACCCCTCCTGACTCACTTTGTTTGTATGTTTCTAAATGAAAAATATGATTGATAAGGAACAATCTATTATAGGAAAGATTCAGAAAAGCAAACAAAGGAACATCACTTCTTCTCACTGCTAATTCCCAGCTGAAGCCACTTGAAGACCTGACACATCTCTCAAGCCCTGGGCAGTTGCTTATAGTCAGTTCCAAACCAAAAGCAGCTGCTCACCAATAACAGATCATATAGCAAGAATACAACCACAGGAACCAGGTGGGAAATACACCCGGACTGAGGCTCATTCACTTGCACATCTTCCAGCATAACATATGGCTTATTCTCTCAGTAGTGTCCTGGTGTATTTTACACAGAGTGATCAAACTGCAATCTATGGAAAACAATACATGGAAACAAATCTCACAACAGAAATGGCAGTATTTAAAGGTAGCCTGTTCTCTGGCTTGGTTTGCACAATCAGGGAAGGCAAAGAAGCCCAGGTAGCCTCTTTTCCACACACTGAGCGCACTTTTTGTACACTGCCTCATTTCTATAATTAACCATGCTAGGCATGGGTTGCCATAACCAGGATCCTAGGAGATGTAGACCAATACATCTGGAAAGCTAGCATAGCATTTATTGGAGCTAGAAAAAGAACTTGGTCACATAATGTTGTGATTTCTTGCACTATCCCAGTCCATAAAATTGGATACCATTAGTAATAGGTGACAGCGTCATACGCTCACTGTTCTTAAGAGTGGAGAGTGTCCTGAATAACTAGTTAGACAAGCAGCAGCTGCTCCAAATAGTGTTTCAATACACACACATAAACAGCTGAGGGCAGCCAGAGAAGAGTATTTTGAAGTAAGTTGTACATGTGCTGTTTTAGGGTCAGTACCATCATTTTAAAGTGTATGAGAAATTTCCAAGTGTGTGATTATAGCTGTTATTTATTGTCACAAAGTGGATAGCTTCCAAGTGATTAAAAACCAGGATAGTTTAATTTGTACTGATTTCATCCCACTGATATCAACTGTTTCAAGCGTTTATGAATTCAAGTGTTACTGGCTGGCAGATGAATATAATCTTCAAAATATAATCCTCGGAACTAAACATGTCAGAATTTTGATCATGCTAAAGGTTTAGGTTTCATTTAAAAAAATAAAGTCTATGAAAAGTCATAAATAATGTGTAATTGTTTCTTTAGAACTCAGATACCTTTTCTAGCCATAAGAAATATGTGTATCTCCAAAGCTGTTTGCTTCCATCTTACTAAGTAGTTATTCACTGCACTTTTATACTAGCAATCTTAGATCCACTTCAATAGGATGATATCATACATATTTACTTTCCGCAGATATAAAATCACAAAACATTAAACACTTAGACAAACCCTGAGCAAAGCAGTATTTTTAAGATAAAATGCACATTAGGAGTTTCCTAGACAGGAATCTAGGTGTTCATTAATTTTAGCTTCCAAAACCTCAGAATGGCAGACAGGGCAGCAAACCCTTTTGCCCTGATGACTGACAGGAGCAGCCAAACTTTCTGAAACTGTTGATTTGGCCTTGCTTTTCATAGAAAGGCTAGTACATTCTGGATCTTTTTTCTTGATAAAATAGTTTTCAAAGGCGACTGAGTCTTCCATTCTTGCCCGCTTTGGTGGTCCACCATTGGGCATGCCACTACTTCCTTGAGATGCAGTCTGAGACCTTTGAGTCAGTGTAACTGGATCAGAAATGCTTTTTTCTATTGTCCTCTTTGCTGGTGAATTCCATGTATATGAAGGGCTTGAAACTGATCTCATTCCATGAAATGAACTGTTTTTAATTGGTGAGCCATTAACATTAGTGTAAGCTTTTTTGTTAGCAACTGAAACCTTAGGAAGCATGATTCTGGAAGCAAAGTTATTCTTATCCCCATCATAAGAAAACTGAGGTGAAACATTTACATTTGAAACATTTTGTTCAAATTCTAGTTCACCCTTAGGGTTTGTTCTAGACAAGCCAGCTGGTAAATGATGCTGTGATCTGAGCAGTTCTCTGTTCTTGTGCTTGCTTGCATCTGAGGTTCTCTCCAATGAGGTCAAACTGCTTTTTCCTCCAAGAACATATCCTTTTCCACTGAAAGGAATAATGTTTTGTATAGTATGGTCATGAGCTCTTCCTGCAAATAAAACAGAATTAACTTTTAATGCGAATACTTATTTTCAGCTATTGCAATCATGCACAATGATTAACTATTATGTGAACTAAGTTCACATTATCAGATGTAAGTAGCACACTCCTTCAGTGTGTGTGTGTGTGTGTGTGTGTGTGTGTGTGTGTGTGTGTGTACAATCAGCACAAGCTGAATAAACCCAAACAGCTTTTGGAGTAGATAGAGCTATTAAATCTAGAGGAGGCAGAAATTTGCCACATTTCAGAGAACACTGAAGGCAATTTACACACCAGTTTCCTGTGTGTAGTAATGGGGAAAATGGGGCATGTGGCTTTCAATTGCATTTAAGTCACAAAATGAACTCTTATGGAGTGGAGTTATGTAGAGTGGAAATTCTGCAATTCCCAGATTCTCTTCATAACACCAAACCACAATCTTTATTTATGGGGAATTTGATTTTGTTAATCTTTTGTAAGCCATCTAAGACACTGCGGTGGAAACGTTTTAAAGTAAAATAAAAAACCCAGATGTTCAAATGGTTTATCAATAAAACATAAAAACATTATATCAGGGCTGTTAAGTTGGTACATAAAACCTTTGCATCCGACTCCTCAATCTGTGGTACCTTCGACTCAGACTCCTTTATTTATATAACAGTATCACCAATTGGAATTAAGATTACTGGAAGAAATATCAACAACCTCAGATATGCAGATGATACCACTCTCATGGCAGAAAGTGAAGAGACACTAAAGAGCCTCTTGATGTGGGTGAAGGAGGAGAGTGCAAAAGTTGGCTTGAAACTCAACATTAAGAAAACTAAGATCATGGCATTCGGTCCTCTCACTTCCTGGCAAATAGATGGGGAAGAAATGGAGGCAGTGACAGATTTTATTTTCTTGGGTTCCAAGATCACCGCAGATGGGGACTGCAGCCAAGAAATTTAAAGATGCTTGCTCCTGGGGAGGAAAGCTATGGCAAATCTAGACAGCATACTAAAAAGCAGACATCACCCTGCCAACAAAAGTGCGTATAGTCAAGGCTATGGTTTTCCCAGTTGCAATGTATGGCTATGAAAGTTGGACCATAGGAAGGCTGAGCACCAAAGGATTGAGGCCTTTGAATTGTGGTGCTGGAGGAGACTCCTGAGAGTCCCTTGGACTGCAAGGCGATCAAACCAGTCAGTTTTAGAGGAGATCAACCCAGACTGCTCTTTAGAAGGCCAGATCCTGAAGATGAAACTCAAATACTTTGGCCACCTAATGAGAAGGAAGGACTCCCTGGAGAAGAGCCTAATTGCTGGAAACAATAGACGGCAAAAGAAGAAGGGGACGGCAGAGGATGAGGTGGCTAGATGGAGTCACTGAGGCAGTTGGTGTGAGCTTAGGTGGACTCTGGGGGATGGTGGAGGACAGGAAAGCCTGGAGGAATGTTGTCCATGGGGTTGCGATGGGTCGGACAAGACTTCACGACTAACAACAACAACAGAAATATGCTAATTATTCACTGCCAATGTGAAACTACTGATTTTTGCAAAACATGCCTTTTCACAATCATCTTCTATAATACACTGACACTCATAATAGTTTCCATCTGCTATTATTGTAAAATGTTCAAAAACAGCTTTTTGCCATTGTGATTTTTTTTCTTGGCACTGCTTTCAGTACTATATGAAATTAAAATACAGTGGTACCTTGGCTCATGAACTTAATCCGTTCCATGACTCTGGTTGCAACCCAAATTGGTCGTGAGCCAAGTCAAATTTCCGCGTACGGTTCAATGTAAACAAGGTTAATCCGTTCTGTAACTATTTTTTTAATCACAAAAATATGAAGCAAAGTGACAAAGACCAACAAAGGTCGCAACCATCTACCCCCCTGCCCCCAGCATGACCACGATTGCACCCATGTTCCCTGCACAGGCGTGACCACGAGCATGACCATGAACGGGTGCGCTCACACTCGGGCAGGGAAGATGGGTGCGATCACGACCATCTCCCCCCTGAGCATGACCGTGATCGCACCCATGCAGGGAAGATGGGTGCGATGGCGATTGTTACCCAATGCGGAGTTCACGACCTGAGGAAATTTTTTTCTGAAATTTCAGTCTGTGACCCAATTTGGTAGTGAACTGAGGCCTCTGTGAGCTGAGGTACCACTGTATATCCTGAAAATATAACCTGAAAAAAGATTACTCAAATTATTATATGTGTGACATAAGAAATTTTAACATATTTATATTATGATTTAAAATATTTGGGAATCAGTACATTTTTACCAACTTCAACCCTGACTCTGGCAACCCAATGATTGCTTTCGATTCCAACTCCATAGCCCCACATTATATCGAGGCTTCCAACAGATTCGAGCTCGTATTGATTAATCAGTGCAGCAGTAATGCAGTATTCCAATTCAGACATCCTGGCTTGCCTCCTAAGTAGCATCAGCAAAAGAAAGCTCACACAAAGATTTCTCATTCCCTTCTCCCCAATCCCAAACAGCCTTTCTGGAGGTGTAAGAAACCCTCCTGAACTTTGAAGGCTTGGGCGCTGGACAGCTTGGAAAGCAACTGCTCCAAACTGAGCAAAGATTCCTTGTGATTTTCAGAAACTGCACCTTCCCGCCACACCACTTGCTCTCCATCTCTCACTGCTCAGAAGGGCAACTCAACCCTTTGTAGACAATTGGGGGGTCACAGAGGGTAAAGGAGGGGACACGAAAGTCTATTTGTACACATTTTCTTTTGCTCACACTACTTAGGATCCAAGGCATTCTTAGTGCCACTTAAACAGAAGTCAGACACATCTAGAAAATCAATACTCAGGAACTTCCCATTTATACAAAAACAAAGTCATATATACACGGAAAACATTAATCAGTATTATTATACTATCTCTAGAAGGAATAGCCACTGAGAAAAATCTTAACCACTTTCTTAGTTAATTCTGACCTGGTTTAAACATAACATTAATTAGTGGTTTCTTGCACCACCCAAGGTTTGTCTGGCATAAGATTGAAGAAAGTGCAGTTTATTTTCTTAGTCCCTCAATATTTGTTTCCTTCCTTCACCTCCTCCCTCCCGAAGTCCTAAATGCCTTTGCAGCACTGTAGTGAGTGACAGAATGTGGAGTAGTTTGTTTTTGTCATTCTCACTCACTGCCTTTGTAGCCTGGTGAAACAACCCATGCTTCTGGGTTCACACATAACCCATAGTTTATGCAACCAAAGGTTTACAACCCAACAACAAAGCATGGGTTCTCCATTATTGCAGCTAGGTTCATATAAGATGACAACCCAACATCCAGCAAGCCATATCATGGATTAGCTTTATGTGCCAACACACCAGCTACTATATCTACTGCTATGGGCATGGTTAAGTACATAATACTCTTGATATTCAGCTGGGAAAGAACAAAACAAGATACATGTACCTTTGTCATCAGCTAGAATTTTTGCTTGTTGGTTCTTCTCTTTGTTTTTCTTTGAGTAATTCTCTGGCTCTTTGATCTTGGTGAATGTACCCCCACAGGTTTGTTGGTGCTCAGACCACCAAAAGTCATTTGCGGAAGGTGCCCTATTCATTGCACGCTTCACATAGCCAAAATATGGCTTTCTGTATTGACATGGGCCATTGCAACGCCACCAGTGCTGGCGGTAGGAATCCACTTCATCATGAAACTCATGGTAGATCTAACATTAACAAACAAACAAAAAAGTCACAACATTCAAATATAGAACATTTATCTTCATTTGTGTTACTCAATAGACACTGGAGTGATCCAAGTGAGCACACAGCTCTCAGGCCAACAAACTGCAGTGAAGCCATTGATTTTGCACTGAAAAATTACTGAAGTCAAGATACCAACCTGCTCAACTTGCTTGTCACCATATTTTAAATTGAGTGATTTATATGAAATATCTCCTCTCAGCCCCTTTACATCCTGAGAGGAGTTTCCATTTACAAGTTAAACGATTCAACATTAAATCCAGCTTCCAGCTGAGAAATAGGATTTCCTATTGGTCTTCTCCCCCATCTAGCCCCACCCTCAAAATTTGCTCTGGAAGATTGACAACATCTCTAGAGCATGGTGAGACACACACAGGAGGGGAAATTGATTCTGCCAACAGTTTCTGTTCTGTTGATGGGCAGGCAGGTTTGGATACAACCCAAAGCACAATCTTAAGAAACTGGTGTCTCCAAGCAAGTTTCTTTCCATTAGTGAGGCATTCTGAAGAATCCTAATTTCTTTCAGCTCCACCTTTACATAGCCACCAGTGCCAGAACTGCAATGATATCACAACTGGGCAAAACCATGAAAGTTCAGGGCTGCTTGACAGGCATGACAGCTCAGATGGCTGCCCCTGCTGCAACAGCTCAGACTGCTTGGCCAGGCTCTTAAGGACTGCAACACTGCACTCAGTTTCATGCACTTGAATGCTAACAGTTTAAGACACTTGCACCTGCTGTTCTTCACTGATAAACTCCACAAATTCTACCCTTTCTGTGACCAAAAATAGAATTAACATTTTCATCATAAACAATATTAACTTACAATGCAATCCTATACTGGCCTACTCAGAAGTAAATTCCATTGCATTTAAGAAGGTTTACTCTCAGGCAAGTGATATAAAACTGTAGCCTTAATGTAACTTTTCCTTATAATTAAATCTTAAAAGGTGCCTTACAGGCAAACACGTCAATTTTTAATGTTCTTACCCAGGCAGCATTATGAAGGAAAAAAACTATCTGAAAAATGGGAATTCTTTAGAAAAGGTAATGTTAAGTCACTCTGGTTATCTAAGCACATTTTTTAAAAAGCTGCATGTTCAGCTACATCTTCCTTACACAACTCTGCTAAACTTTGTTATCACACTAGCCTGTGATCTGCTATCCTGACACAAAGCCTTAAAAATAAGATGTACTTGAAATATTCAGAAACTTAAAAACTACTGTCCACCTAAGGGAATACTTACCGTAATATTGGCTCCAGTTAAACGATTTATCCGATTCATGTGTTTGCAGAACTCTGGGCCATGGGAATCATGATCTTTGTCATTATTTGTGACAAACAACAGGGCATGGATCATTTCATGTAAGAGAGTCTACAATAAAACAATAACTGGATTATTAAAATGATATTATCCTAACAGATAACAATTGTTTATTACTATTACTACTATACTGTATTTACATCCCACCTTTTGCTCTTGTTTAGAAAGTGAAGGGGGCTTACGGATTTCCATTTTACCCTCACAACAACCCTGCAAGGTAGGTTAGGCTGAGAATGAGTGTCTGGTCCAAAGTCACCTAGTGAATAAGTGGGAACTTGAACCTGGAACTCCCAGGTCCTCAAACATACTCAAACCAGCACACTACAGTGTTTCTTTACATATAATTGTTGACAATCACCAGAAATAGGTCAAGTCAATTAAAAATAAACTGTAAAACCTTCTTGCATCCATTGCCTCCTTCTTCGTAACAGTTCAGACACAGTACTTCTGCTTTTATTTTAGCTAGGATCAAAATCAGTGTATAATGCAACCATAAGCACATTTTTTAGACTGTACTCAGTGTGGATACACTTTAATGATTGTGTTTCTGATTACAGTCTTAGCTAATATAACTTAACTCCAGTAAGTATTTTTGAACATTGCTTACAACCTGGGTAGTGTCTAACACTGTCCCTGCACTAACAAGAATGAGCATTAGCACAATGACAACTTTGTACTTGATACTGCAACAAATGATGTGGGACAGAAAATTTTATATCATGTTTTTATGGACAATTTTCTGTTTCATAAATATTTTAGTAGAATTAATACAAGTCAATTATAAACATAATACAAAACAAACTTGGGGAGTTTCCAATCTGTAATTAGTGCATTCAGATGATTATCTTTAAGAAATACATAAAACAACATATACACGTCATGGAAATATTCATGTCGCAGGCTGAAATGGACTAACAGTGAAAGTAAAAATGAAGGTAGTTCAGCTATCTAAATGCAAGATAGCTGAATACTAATGAAATAGATGAGTTGTTATCAGTGGATCATGGTATCAACCCTAATTCTTTGGGTTGCTGAAATTAATTGGTGTCAACTATTCTGCGTATGATTTTTCTTCTTAAAATTTCACAGTATACAAGAAATGCTTGTGATTGACTTCACAGTTTTACAAATATTCTAGTAACATTTTCCACTTATACAAATTTTGAATCAGAGTAATCACGCTTCACTTCTTCCCCTCAAATATTTCAGGACAAATACTTGTGTATTGAAACAAAATTAGTATTTTTTAATTTTATTAGATACAAATAAATTAAAAAGCTAAATGAGATCCTTCTAAGACAGAAGTAAGCAAGATGAGGCTCTCCAGTTGTTTTGGTGTAGGGTTCCCATCATTTTCCTCACCACAGGTGAGGGAAGATGAGATTTGTAGGCCGAAACTTCTGGAAGGCGACAAGCTGCCCACCCTTGGTCTAGCACATCAGGACATTATTCAATACCCATTGATTTTTTTCACAAGACACACTGGAGAAGACAATCATGCTAAGGAATGTCGAAGACAGAAGGGGAAGACCAATTATGAGATGGATTGATTCCATAAAGGAAGTCACATCCTTGAGTTTGCAAAAGCTGAACAGAGTTGTCAAGGACAGGACATTTCGAAAGGCATTCATTCACAGGGTCGCCAGGAGTTTAAGATGACCTGCTAGCATGTAACATAAACAACCAGTTTGCATTGGAAATTTTTCTGAGCACAACTGAAAACTAGTTCAAACTAGTTTCCTGGAATAGGACAAGTGGACCTTGTGGAAAAGAGTTAGCGAGATCAGAGATGCTGTGTCATGCTATTAGAATGATTTATTTCTACAGCTGGTAACTACTTGTTTTGGATATTATATATTCCACAAATATATGTTTAATCTTTTAAACTACCAGTGTAAGGCAGGTATATCTTAAGGTTGGCATATCAAAATCCATATCCTGGCTATGAAATTCACAGCTAAGACCGTGACAAGAAAGCCCTACTGTTCTCTGCAAATCAGAAGGTGGTGGCCACTGAATATTTTGGGGGATACTGGGGCAAGTTTGGACCTCTAGGAGGCAGGGCCTTGTAGAGGCCCACCACGTCTATCATATTCAGCCTTACAAATAACCACTCACAGCAACTACTGTCAAGTGATGAGGGGCTAAAAATGCTATAGAGCAAATTCCCAGCACAACCTTAGCTATTTAAAATAAGAAAACCTACTGCAGGATTTTTCTAAATACAATACCTCTACAAGATCTTTCCTTGGTCGCAATTTTAAGAGTGGTTCACTAAGTCGGATGGAGCACATTCCACCACGGCCTTCATAGCAGCAAACTCCTGCACATCTAGAATAAAAAATGCAAACAATCCAGGTTTGTTTTCTATTGGACTTTCTCTCTTCTGACATAGTACCCAGAAAGCTGCCTTATACCAGCATATACTGCCAGTACTAACATTCATGAGCTGATCACACCAACATAAAGGAAATGAAATTGCTTGGTTTTTTTTACAAAGTAAAGTACAGCATGCCTGCAGCAAATGTAGCACAACTATAACAATTCTGACTTGATAAATTTCATATAAATTTACAGCATATTACTGTAAAATGCATTTGAAAAGGCAATGTATTTGGAAATATATATTTGTTTTTATTTTTGGAAATGTAAACTGCCCAGAGAGCTCTATGGACTGTTGGTGTGGTACAGAATAATAATAGTCCTAAAATATTCTGCATTTGATAATTAGCGTCCAAGTTTCATGCACACATGAAGCAGAATGGACCATATCATTTCAGAGAAAAGTAGATATACCAAAATGTCAATATTCTTCTATTTTGTTTATTCAAATTATCTAAAGGAAAGCCAATCAAGCAGAGAACAGAGTGGAACAATCTTCACTGTGATCTACTAACTTACTTGTGGGATTCTTTTTTTTTAAATGAGGGAAAACTTTCAAAAAATCACACCTTCTTCAGTCTAAATAGCTAGTCACTCTGCCGTTTTATACTACCGATTTACAACAGTTCCAAGCATTATACAGGGTGTTTCATAAAGTAGGCAGTTTTTGAACTGTGCGGTATTTTTTTGTTTGAAGATTGTCAACACTGTTTCTATCATTTTCGTTATCTATTATCACTCCAATTATAAGACCATTTGTTGTTTTTCCATTTAGTAGCCATGGAGCGGTTCAGTATCGGGCAACGCATGCTTATTGTGAAAACTCATTACAAAAATGGGGACTGCTACCCAGAGACTGTCTGTCAACTTCGCGTGATCTTTGGACGTGACAATGCCCCTAGCGCAACAACAGTTTCGAGGTTAGTACAGAAATTTGAAGAATCTGGGTCAGTTGCAACCAGAAAATCGCCCGGTTGAAACCGTATGGGTAATCGGTGAAATCGACAGGGATGTCTGCGAAAGAGTTATCGTTAATTTCAACGATCGGATGACTGCCTGCAGAGAAAGTGGAGGTGGACATATGCTCGGTATCATTTTTCATTATTAAATCGAATTATATGTTGAATGAAGTTAAATAAAAATTTTGAATTTTGCTTGGATTTTGGCTGATTTATTGCATTTTTAAAAACTGCGTACTTTATGAAACACCCTGTACATCCCTCCTTAGGCTGTCTATAAAACGACGTCGAAGTATCATCAGCACTTGGCTCACCCTGCTTGCTAATTAGCCGTAATAAAGAGCCAGCCAATGTTTTTATTAGGACCAAGCGCACCGTGTTGTGTCTCTTGGATCGGCCCCAAGTTGGGACAGCAAGGCCTTGGGGAAAGCCCAAACTATTTGGGGTACCCCCCACCCCGGGACTTTTAGCAAATCGACTGGGAGGAGGCATGAGAGAGCCATCTTCCCGCGGTTCTTTCCCCCGACGCAGTATGGAGAAGGCACCCGTCCAAGTGCGCGTTTAGGATCGCTCCTGGAGAGCCAGCTCCGTTTCCTCAGCGGACCATCCCAAGAGCTGCACCCCGCCGCCGCCTGCACCGTACAGCGTCATGCGCGGGCTCCACTTGACCTCCACGGCCGCCAGGCGCCCCCAGAAGAGGCTCTCGTTGAACTGCAGGAAAAGGCCTCGCACGTCCGGGTTGGGATCCAGCAGCTCCCAGGATTTGTCCACTACCGAGAGCGGCAAGGGCGAGGAGGAAGCCGCCTTGCCCGCCTGGACCTCGTCGTCCTCCGCCTCCCACTCTGCCTGCAGCCGCAGCGCCAGCAAGAAGTCTCCGTCCATGGCGCCGGAAGAAGGAGCTCCACGAACGGCTCGCTCGGCCACTCGCAGCGGACTTTTCTAACTTCAGCGCGTGCTCCGAACAGTTGAGGGTCACAGGCATCCCCCTCTTCCTCCGCCCCCCATTCCCACCCCCGATTCGGTAAAGCGCTTGCACGGCGCTCCGAAACCCCGGAAGTTATTCCCGGCGTGTCCGTCTAACTTTTACGCCTCTGTGTTTGTCTCGAAGGAAACAAGCACGTCACGCAGATCGCGCTATCAACTGGCCATTCCGCGGCGCTTCTTCCGTCGCGCCGTCTATGTCGCTCTATTTTCGGCGCAGGCGCAGTGGAGTTGCTAGGGCCACGGATTTCCTCTCTGGCCCTCGGTCTCTCGTTGCTCCGGTTCGGACATGGCGCTCTCTCTGGGCGAGGTGACGGCGGCTGCCGGTGGCGGCGGCGGCAGCAGCCGTCTGAGGAGGCAGCTGGAGTCAGGGAGCTACGCGGCCGAAGAGTACGTCAAGCAGCTGTCCCAGCAGTCGGACGGGGACCGCGACTTGCAGGAACACCGGCAGCGCATCCAGGCGCTGAGTGAGGAGACGGCGCAGAGCCTCAAGCGCAACGTCTACCAGAACTACCGACAGTTCATCGAGACGGCCCGCGAGATCAGTTACCTGGAGAGCGAAATGTACCAACTCAGTCATATCCTCACCGAGCAAAAGGGCATCATGGAAGCCGTCACCCAGGCTTTGCTTCAGCAGGCCAGTGCTGCGGACGACTCGGCCCTGGGGGGCGCCCGGCGAGCTGCAGCCGATCCTCACACCAACCCCTTCCTTCCCCTTTCAGCCAAAGACTCCTCAGCCAACGAGGAGGGCCGTCACCGAACCCTTACGACTCTCCTAGAGAAAGTGGAGGGCTGCCAAGACCTGCTTCCGGAGAGTCCTGGCAAGTACCTGGTCTACAATGGGGACTTGGTGGAATATGATGCTGACCACATGGTTCATATCCAGAAAGTGCATGCTTTCCTTATGAATGACTGCCTGCTCGTGGCCACATGGCTGCCCAACCGGCGTGGGACATACCGTTATGATGCCCTCTACCCACTTGATGGTCTGGCTGTAGTCAATGTCAAGGACAACCCACCCATGAAGGATATGTTCAAGTTGCTCATGTTCCCTGAGAGTCGCATCTTCCAAGCAGAAAATGCCAAAATCAAAAAAGAGTGGCTGGAAGTGCTGGAGGAGACCAAGAGGAACCGTGCTCTCAGTGAGAAACGGAGACTGGAGCAAGAGGTCCCAACATGGGCTCCTCCCTCAACTCCCCCAGAGCCCACCAATCCTTTTGAGGAGGATGAAGAAGAGGAGACAATGCCAGAGGAAGAAACAGTGGATCTCTCCCTAGAATGGATTCAGGAGCTGCCTGAAGATCTGGATGTTTGCATTGCTCAGAGAGACTTTGAAGGGGCAGTTGACTTGTTAGATAAGCTGAATGAGTATTTGGCAGATAAACCTGTGACCCAGCTAGTCAGAGAGCTACGAGCAAAAGTGGATGAAAGAGTCGGGCAACTCACTGAGGTGCTTGTGTTTGAGCTGTCTCCTGATAGGTCTTTACGGGGCGGGCCCAGAGCTACACGTCGAGCTGTTTCCCAGCTTATCCGCCTGGGCCAGTCAACAAAGGCATGTGAACTTTTCCTTAAGAACAGAGAAGCTGCTGTTCACACAGCCATCCGCCAGCTGCGTATTGAAGGTGCCACTCTGCTGTACATTCACAAGCTCTGCCATGTCTTCTTCACCAGCTTGTTAGAGACTGCAAGGGAGTTTGAGACAGACTTTGCTGGCAACAGTGGGTGCTACTCTGCTTTTGTTGTCTGGGCTCGATCTGCTATGAGGATGTTTGTGGATGCATTTAGTAAGCAGGTGTTTTATAGTAAGGAGAGCTTATCTACTGCTGCTGAGTGTGTAAAGGTAAGAAGAAAGTGCTCTAAAGTGTCAGAGGAGCTCAAGCCATGAACTGCACTTCAAATACGCCAGGTCACAGCTTTGTCATCATTATAACTTCCCTAGTTTTCCAGATAGAACAGAGAGCTGGAAGGAAACCAGTGAATCATCTTGCCCAACTTTCTGCTCTCAATAGGCTATTTTATTTGTATATAATTAGAACAGAGAAAGGGCCATGCTTTTCAGACCAAGGGTCAATCTGCTCCAGCACTGTGTTCACACAGTGACCAAACAGCTGCTCATGGAGACCCCTACAAGCAGAACATAAGTGCAGCAGCACCCTTCTGCCCATGTTCATCAGCAACTGGTGTACATAAGGAAACTGCCTCTGATACTGAAGGTAGCACATGGTATGATTACCATTAAGTAGCCATTGATCACCTTCTCCATGAATTTGTCCAATCCCCCTTTAAAGCCATCTAGATTGGTGACTGTTACCACATCCCAAACTCCTTAATCTAAATATGAAATTACTGTGGGAGCTTTGTTGGATGCACCACTTGCTTCTTCACTTTGGCAGGAAGTTAGTTCTTTGTTAGTCCACCTGTAATGTTGAAGGGATTGTTGCATAATTCTAAGAGACACACCTGCATTTCTTGCTCTTCTAGCATTAAAAAGCTCCACCCCTTTAAGACCAGGCAGAAGAGAGCAGGCCCAGTCATATGTCCTGTCTTTGTGGTGTTGTGCTATCATTGATCTTAGCTTAAATTTATAATGCACTCTTTGCTGTGCAGGTAGGAGAGTAAGGGATGACTACTGCTTGACAAGAAAAAGTAATTTGTACTTCGTGGAATACTGTATGAAAATACCTTTAGTTGCACAAGCAGGAATGATCGCAGGCACCAACAAATGGCAATGAGGGTACAGACTAACATTGTAATGCCTGTTTTAATGTTGTGTCAATCCATAGTATGCTAATACTACCAGGAGTCTTGCATTCGGGACAGGCTGCAGTGGTAGTGATAAATTTTGAACAATTAATTTATCCTACAGCTGGATCAGGTTGCCTGGACATAATCACATCTCAGCTTGTCCAGCCACCACCAGTCTCTTACGGAAAAAATTATCTTTTGCAGGGAACAGGATGGCTTCTTAGGTTGTCTGGAAATGGCATCCTGGATACCATTGCATTTCATGCAGTGTAATATAGGCTGCCTTTTTTATGGCCAGAATTGAGGGCAGTAGTGGACATAAAGGCTGGGGCATACCTCCCTCTGCCTTGCTAGCAGGGTTCATGTCAGTGCTGGCATTGAAGGTTGTGGTCACGACCCTCTGAACTGTATCGAGACCACGGGTATTTCCCAGCTTGCCTACTAATTTCTCTTCTTTGGCCTTGGCCCACTCACAGTCCTCACCCACTATTTACTCCTAGACAAAGACTTCCTTTCTCTAGCGGCAACTATGGTGAGACATGCTCTCATTGCACAGAGTGATCCCTTCTGTGCTTCTCTTCCTGCATGGAGAAAGGGACTCCAGTGATGCCAGGGTGGGGTTTGGGAAAAAGGATGGGAAAGGCGAGCCTCACTCTTTGATCGGGTCCAGCACCAAGGGTGCCCAAAGTGACAATTTAGCCCTCTTGGCTGGATCTGTTCCCCACCCCTGCTTTACGTAAACTCGGTTGCAACTAACTTCTTCTAATATTTTCAATAAATCTTGCTAGTTGGTTAGACCTTAAGTATTTCTGCTTTAAGTTAGGAGAAGATTGAGCTCAGAAATAGACCAGAGTTGATTCCTAGTTCCTTATTTAACATAGTTGCATGAGCAGATTGGATAAAGTACTGAGATTGCCTTCAGGTTGACTGAAAATCATGCTGATATATGACAAAGGCAGCACAAAGCTTGGTTTGGGGTGCAGTGGCATTCAAATGTCAATTCTATATTTAATCTGTCTATGCACTTATTTCCGTATTGAATAAGAAGCTGGGAGCCTTTGAGTCAGGGATGTTTGCAGCATCTATGACTTAGCTTTGTACTTAACACCATGATACAGATGTTACATATTTTTCTTTCTAAAGCCCTTTTTAGTTATATTCTCATGACATAGAAAAGTTTTATGAAGAAGGGCAGATGGTAAGGTTTTTGAAAGTCTTGCTTAATTTATGTCTTGTTTTCCCCTGCTGTTTGTGATGTGAAGATAATACTTAAGGTATAATAGTAAAATTAATAATGTGCCTTGTTGTTGAAGGTGGCAAAAGAACACTGCAGCCAGCTCAGTGAGATTGGTCTCGATCTGACATTCATCATTCACGCCCTACTAGTGAAGGATATCAAAGGTGCTTTGCAGAGCTGCAAAGATATCATAATTGAGGCCACAAAGCATCGTAATTCTGAAGAGATGTGGAGGAAAATGAACCTGATGACCCCGGAAGCTCTAGGAAAGCTTAGAGAGGAGATGAGAAGCTGTGGCGTGACCAATTTCGATCAGTACACTGGTGATGACTGCTGGGTGAATCTTAGCTACACTGTTGTGGCTTTCACCAAACAGACCATGTTCTTCTTGGAGGAAGCTCTCAAACTCTACTTTCCAGAGCTGCATATGGTTTTGCTGGAAAGTCTGGTGGAGATAATCCTTGTAGCTGTCCAGCATGTTGATTACAGTTTACGGTGTGAACAGGACCCTGAAAAGAAAGCATTCATCAGGCAAAATGCATCTTTTCTTTATGAAACTGTCCTTCCTGTTGTGGAGAAGAGGTTTGAGGAAGGAGTTGGGAAACCAGCTAAGCAACTGCAAGAGCTGAGAAATGCTTCAAGACTGATGCGTGTTAATCCTGAAAGTACTACCTCTGTGGTGTGAAATGCAGTGCCTGCATCCTTCTCACATCAAATGTTTTATGTATGCCTAATATCTGTTTATATAGGTATGTGCACAAACTGTTTTTGAACTCCTCACAGCAACCTAATCCTAGAACACTAGTTTTAGCTAATTATGCCCTGAAAACAAACCGGAAGGCAAACCAAAAAAGAGAAGAATTAAAGCAAGTACAGGTTAGAAAGACACACATGACACATTCCCTCCAAAGGTCTGGTTGTGGCATTTTAGATTATGGAGGACAACTGAAGACATAATGCATTTTGCTCCAAAAGCTAATATTTAAATGAATTGTTTAAATAGAATTGGTATGATCAAGACTAATTTTTGATAAGTATTAGCTGCCTCTGTAGGAGTGGAAATGATGGGATACAGTGATTCCATTATATTGGCCTTCAGAAGAAACAGCAGTTTGGGAAACAGAAAGCATAATTTCTTCTTAGATGACTTGTAAAGAGATGTAAAAGCTACAGCAAATACTTGATCTCAAAAGGACCCAGCTTAAAATGTCTTTTGAAAATTAAACTTGACAAGATCTGGGAATTCAGTCTTTCAAGTAATTTTTTCAGTGTGTTAAGAATCATAGCAACAATAAATGCTAGTATAATTGTAAAGGACTGCAATCAAAAGTGTTTCCTGTCTGATTTGTGGAAGTTGAGAATTGGATGAGTACAAGTAACAGGAAGGGGCAATTTGTGGCAAATCATGTGTTAATTACTTATAATTGACCAGGAAGCATATAAACCACTTTCCTACGCTGTAAAAACCTCTGATCAATGTGATCAGAGATTGTCAGTGTGATGTTATAACACAAACCAGTGGGCTGTTTAGGAACTAAACCTTGTGATCTAGCAACAACCCACTAGTCCAGGTTCATATGTCATGCCAACAACTTCTGATCGTGCCAATTGGAAGTTTACAGTATATAGTAGCAGTTGATGGGTGACCCTGTGAATCATGGGTTAAATACTCCACTATTTGCCATCATGACATGTGAACCAGGTTGCAGACTTGTCAACCCAAGGAGCTCTCTGAACATAGGAACCATGCAGCCGCCTGGGGATTTTGTTGCAGGTTCACTGCAGCTTCTTGGCAACCTTAGAGCCAAGACTACTTATTCAGATTAAAAACGGGCATTGTTAATTAGGGAGATGGTGTTTAACTGGAGAAAGTTGTGATGCTGCATATACAGTAACCCCCCCCCGTTGCACCTGCTGTTACAGTTACCATGGTCTGAAAACAAGACCCAGCACACTAGAGTGTGGCCCATTCCAGGGAGTGCATCCTGCATCACATCATGAGCCTTGTATGCAGCCGCACGCCTGGTCCTGAGTCCAGCACTTGCCCTGCCCTCACTGCAGGGAGGGGGCACCCCATTCTGGGCCAGCAGTGGTGCTGCCAGAAGTGGCTGTCTGTGGAGAGACACAGCACTGCCCATGCAGGCCTCCTCCCTCTCACCCCCCCCCCCCCCCCCCGCACCATCCATGGTACAATTAGGCCACAAACCTCCAAAAACCTCCATTGAATTTTTGATGGCAAACTTGCAAATAACCGAATTCCCAAAAGTTAAACCTGCAAAAGTTGAAGTTCAACTATATATACTGTCCACTACTATCCGTGGTTTCAGGGATCCACCTGGGGGGCATATCCCCGGCGGATAGGGGGGTCCTACCATACTGTCCCCATATATGCCCTTTGGACATCCACTAATGGTGTTAAATTGATCTAAGAGCTTCAACTTTGGGGAGGTTTAGAAATGAAATATAATAATACAATCAAGTAAAGGTAAATAAACTCTCATATAAGTTGAGTGTCTGCTTGTATAATCAAAAGGGAGGTTGGATTGAAAACATAAACGAAATGGAGACTAGATTTACATGTTCCCAAACAAGTCCGATATAGGGAGCCCTGGAGATTTCACAGTGTGAAGAACTGTCCATTTGCTATCCGGTAGTGAAGGTTGAAACAAGGGATTGAGAAGTGGCCTTGTGTAAGTAGCAAAATGCTCTTCAGGTTACCACAAGCGGAAACCAGAGTGCAGGTGTGCATGGGATTTAGAGTGGAAATGTGTAAATGCTGCAGCTAGGACCGACTTGTAGCAGCCTGTTTGGTAAGCCTGCACTCAGTTACTTGGACCCAGGTTCCTTTTGGCCACAGGAGCATTGCCTATCCACAGTTCTGCTCACATGCTCACTCTGGCAGAAAGCAAAGAGTGGTGGTTAGCTTTTCTTTTTGCATTCTTCAGAACTGCCTCCTTCACTGTTCCTGGAGATCTCCCAATCCTCTGGAGCAATCCTCCCAATCCTTTTTTTGTGTCCAGTGCAGCAGGGAGATCTGCAGAGAATGGAGGGAAGATCACCTTGTCACCTGTCCTGTCAGTGGAAGTGCTCTAATGAATTGGAATCCTTCATCAGTCAAACAGAAGCCTTCCATTCTTAAAAGAATGACTGCAGATCCAACCCAACGTGATTATGGCTTGTTCAGACAACACAACAAGCCATTGCAAATTTTTTACCATTGTTGGTTGGTCATGTCGTCGAAACCTAGTGGTATTTCTCCATGGTAAGTTTAGCTTGAGAAACCACAATAAGAAACAACTATTTGTCTTTTGGTTTTTATACCACCATGGCTTGTGTTACCTGAACCTAGGATCCTGATTTCTGCAGTCCTGGTATGCATCTCCCAGAGTCCTCTGGAAAGATCAGCCACTTTAGGACCCACTCTAGCCATCCAGCCTCTATGAGTCTGTGAGGAAGAGGCGGGTGACATGGACGATGGGTGATACACCTTGGGATTGAATTTCAGACACTGTGGCTGATGAGATATCTGTCAGCACTGAGTAGACTAGGTGGGGAGGATGGAAACCACAGCAACAGAAACCACTTGATCAGCTGTCAGGTCGTCATGGTAAAAACCCGTGAACCACAGGAACATAGAAACAGAGCGAGTCAGAAGGGGCCTCCCGGGCCATCTAGTCTGCAGCATTGCTTGTTGTATTGTGTGAACACAGCCCACGTATAAAGTGGATAAAAGGGCCTGTCTTTTGCTTTTCAAGAGTTGATGGGGTTAGGTCTGCAAGTCTTATACTGCCCACTGTATAGTGAAATCCTGTATATTGGGATTATCTCATTGACACTGAACCAGAATCGATTGACTCCAAGGGACAAGTTCCAATTGGCTACAACAGCCTTATAGTCAGTTTTCTTAACTAAGGTGTAAAATGAAATGTGTCAATGTTGAAAGTATTAAAGACTTTGACTCATATTTGTAGCCTTGACATATCCATATAGAGATTCGTTGCCTTGAGTCATGAGAACAGGTTGCACCTTTGAAACAGTGAGAGCAGGAAGAGAACTGTGTAAGCCACTTCGAGTTCATTGTAAGAAAAAGCAGGATATAAATCTAATAAGATTAATAAATAAACATTACAGTATGAGAGTACTGGTAACTTGCTCCAGAAAAAGAGATGGAGTGATACATCTCATTCTTGCCCCATATTCCAGAAAAGTCTGGTCTGCATAATGCATAGTCTTCTGGGCAGAATCACAGTTTGTAAATGGGTGAGACAATCTTGTCTCTGCAGCTATGGCTTGGGGCAGCCACGCTCATGTCAGCGTAGCTTGTTTCTTTTTTGCTCTAAAGGAGCACTGATGTAACAAAATGTTTGGAGTGTGCCCGCTCAAGTATGCTGTGATTGCATGTGTGCATTTATGCCAGAGCTGAAGGGTAAAATTGTATAACTATTTGGACAAAAAATTGTGGTGATCCAGAAGTCTCTTGCAGTGGTTATGAATATCCCTTACACACAGGAGAAAATATCCTCCAGAAGCCTCATGCAACCTAAGAATCTGCCAGTGAATGAACAACTAAAGAGCAATTCTGGGTAACTGAACAACATTAATTAGTCTTGGTGTTTCCTAATTTATGATTCTGTTTATGCCATGCCCAAAGCTGTATGGAGGCCAAATTCTTTATGAATAAGAACAATATCTATGAGTATTTAAACTTGCAGACGGGGGTACAGTTGATTATTATTTTTTGAATACGTTTTATTCTTAATATATACCTAAGCAAAAAAAAAACCCCTAAAAAGCATCAGTAATCGATAACAGCAGACCTACTGTGTCAGCCCCCCACATTTTTTCTTTTTATGTTAAACTATAAACATATTTAAGTCTATGCATAGTCCCGTTTCGCTAGCCAATGATAAAAAGAGTCCCAGGTTTGATAGAAGCCTGTATCTTCTTTCTCCTTCAGAGACAAGAGGGTACAGTTGATTATTAATACCATAACTGGATTAAAACGTGCCCTATACATCTTTAGAATTACGTGGGGGAGGTTCCAGTTTGTGTATGTACACAATCAAGTTCGGAGAAATGATCTGCTTTTAGTAGGTGAGTTGAACCCTCAGTTCTATTTAGGCTATACACAGAAAAGTATATTCCCACCCTTATGGTGAGGGTGTACAGCTCAGGTGCATGCATGTTCAGGTTCAGTTCCTGGCATCTATGCTGAAAAAGTGCGAAAAGACATCTGTGTGGGACCTTGGAAAGCTACTCCAGTCACAGTAGGCAGTAGAGGGCTAAGTGAAGCAAGAACATGGCAGGATAAGGCAGCTGCTTATGGAGCAATCAGACCCTGCCATGAGGTATGAAAAAGTTTGTTTATGCAGGAATGTTCACAGCACCTGATGCACATGCATGGGTATTTGGTAAAAAGCGTAATCGCAGTCTGCCATAATTACCAGGCAAAGCCCTGCAGACAGAGCAGAGGCCTGCTTGTACAATACTTCTACCCCCAGATTCGCTTTAACCACCCAGAGGATGCCCCATCAACCCAACTTCATCTCCCACCCTGTATTCAGCATCTTCCATTCTGCCATTAGAAATGGTGAGGCGCTGCATAGTAATGCCTGGCTCTTCTCTCAGGTAGGAGACACAGTTCACTTCTGTACAGGCCCCCACACACATCTGCTGTCTGGAGAGGCAGGAGAGCTTAAACAAAATTTCCGTTCTGGAGATTCCACTAGCTTAGATAAAGCTTTACTAAAGAAATAGATACACTCACGGAGGCTAACAGTGCAATCTTAGGCATGCCTACTTGGAAGTAATCCCCATGGTGTGCAACGGCACTTACTGTCACGTAAGTGTGCGTAGGACTGCAGTCAAGGTCTGCCAGTTGTTCTGAGCTCAGTGGCACTTCCTGGCTCCAAAGCAGTATAACCCTAAATTGCAGCCGCTAGAGATGAACCATGGGAAAGGCCCACCATAATTCCCGGTGTGTGAGCTTCCAAAGGCGAACTGGCAAAAGAACTAGCTGGATATGGATGACATGGATATCTGCGTGATCCAGCATAGCAATTCCCATGCTCTTAGGGAGTGGTCTGATGGAAACTAGGCATGGACTGAGCAGCTGTAGGATGTGGGAGACTCCTTCTTTCAACATCAGAGATAGCTCTCCAGCCTCAGGAGTGAAAGACCTGCCCCCCCCCCCCCAAGATCTTCATAGCATCTGGGGAAAGAAGGGCACTAGCTGCTCTCTGAAGTCAGAGAAGTAACCTTGGAGAGAGGAAAGGGAGTGATCATTTGGGTAGGGAGGGGAGAAGACCCAGGAGTCCAGGATAAGAATG